AACAGTCTCCAGCAGGGTTTTTACTTTCAATACTAATGGGGTGGAAATGATGCACGAGCCCTAGTCAAGAGCATACGAAGAGTCACTGAACAAAAAACTCATCTTAGTCGCTAGAAGGGAATCGAACGCTTTCGAAGTAGGCGTGTTCTACTTTCTGGGGTGGGACGCTCAGTGCCGGCCGTGGAGATTGCGTGCTGTGATGCGGGTCCTTGCGAGATTGCTTGTAACTATCCCGCGTTTCGAAATTAATGCTGCGCCTTTTAATTGGTACTTGTTAACTCATTTAATTATCGCATTTCTTTGTTTGTACTGATGCATGTCTCTGTTGTATTGGTGCATATGCGATTGCAGCCGCATTTCTTGCTGGCACGAGCCAGCAAGAAATGCCGGCGGAGCAAGCTAGTTCGGACAGCTCGTCCGACACGCCCCTTCCTTCATTTCAAAAGGGGAAGAGGGGAAGCCCCTGTTTAAGGGCTTCGTCGGCGGTTTTCTTCGTTTTTTTCCCATTAGCAGTCAATTCGTCATCTACAACTTTATTATCGACCATTTTTACCTCGCGAATTTGATCTGGAATTGTTACTTCAACAATTCGTTTTTTGAACTCCAAGTCGAAGGTGCTGTTCGGAAAACTGCATTCTGTGACCTGAGCAATATAAAAGTGATGATAAACCACCTCAATACGTCTTTTTCCATTTTTTGTAACAGAAGAGTGGGCGCTGACGGTTGCCTCGCGATGTGCTGGATGAACTGATACTTATGTCCACCTGGTTGATAAATGATTTTGTCATGCAAACATAGCAGCATCTCAGTCATCTGAAGTATAGTAGGAGTGTAAATTGTTCATGGAGACAATTTTTTCGTGGGTTATATTTTCTGCTCAAAAAAATTTAACACTTCGACAGCGCTGCAACTATGAATGCCGCTTTTGCATACTGCGTAGGACATTGTGGCAACTACATATGTATACCGCACCCACTACTTTCATTTTTCCGTGCCTGCTGAACTTCTTCCAAAGTTTTTTTTTGTGTTTACTTTGTAAGCCACACAGTGCTGTACTCATAAACAACTTGGTTCACAGATTGGTCAAATAGGCTTTGGTTTCGCAGAGGTTTTCCAAACCTTATAGAAGTGACGGGTAAGATTATCGGTTTTGGTTTCTTGGACATGACCATAAGATAAAAAATAGAGTTACGAGTAAATAGGAACTTATTCGGATGGCTGGGGTATCTTTCCACTGAAACAACTGCGTCCAAAGAATTTTTGAAATCCAACACAGCAAAATATGGACAGTCCACATTCCGAAGCGTGATTATTGTTTTTCCTGAAATTTTCACTTTCACGTATGAGTTCCTTAGGGTCGTACTATACTTCAACTATACTTTACTTTGTGAGGCTAAGGTCAGTGTGAAACAACTTGTCGTGTTACGATTGCCAACAATTTTTAATTTATAGTGGTGACTGATTTTTTCTTTCAAGGCTAAATGTAACGCGTTGCAGAGTATGACGTTTGTTTGTCCAGGGTTTGGGTGTCTTATGAGCCCTATTTGTCAGTATGCTGCACTCGCTGTCACAATGCGGTGTACTCGTTTATGAGCACGGGTGATAGCGGCCTTAACAATTTACAAGGGGAGGGGGTCGTTTGCAATTTTAGGGGAGCTAAAATTTGTATTGTTGTTTTGGAAACATCGGAAGAGAAGTTTTCAGGAGAGAGATGAAAGAATCCCACAATAGGCGCAGATCTTGGAGGTTGAGGGTAGTTGGAATGGAGGGTCACCATGAAACGTCATAGAAAGGGTCAAAGGGGGTCGTATGAGGTCCCTTCGGCCTTTCGCAAGAAGTGCGTAATGCTGATTTAGAGTTTACTAACGCGATGGTTGGCCCAGCTTTCTACCAAAGGTAGTAGCGGCGAATTCCCGCCACTTCTTCGACTTCGCTGCCCCTAAATGAAACATGCGGCTTCCAAGTCCTCTAAGACGCCTCTCCAGTGATAGAATACCATAGTAATGAAAGTGCAGAGAACAATTCTATAGGCTTTCTAGACTAATCCAGTGTCATTTGCAGTTCAAAGTAGGAGGATATACCGGTGAGGATAAGCTCGATCAGAACCGCTTTGCCGACATACAGTTAGACCCCAACGTACGAAAGTGAGCTAGTTTTGCTTGGGATCGGGGTGTAATTGAAGAAGGTGAAAATCTTAATGTAATCTTCAGGTTCGCCTATCTTGCCAATTTCCTTATTGGAAGGCAGCGAATTTTGCTGTTCACGAAGGACTTAGACATTGCCCGTGCTGCTTATGGATCGTGGGAAACGGATACGGTTGATATGCAAGTTGAAGTGGCGCTTCAAGGTGTGGGGCTTTCAATTGTGGACAACAGCGTTGGCAAGGAGGTAACCCGTCACTGGTTTTCTGCTACTGAATCCGATCTGGAATTGAATGTTTTCAGTTACTGTACATCGGAATATCTTCATCGGATATACTGTGGGAGGAAGAAGTTAAGAAAGGCCGATTCAAACCTTTGGCCGTGAAATTGATGCACTCACTGGAAGAAAAGTATCAAGAACATCTTCTTGAGCCGAAAAATGATTACCAGGTATTACTCATAGTTGCTTTTGACTACGGACCACCATAAGGCTTTCCCGTTTCCAGCCAGTCGACCAGTTTGAGGTCTCGTTTGAGAACATGATTATGAAGAAGAAAAAGAGCAAGGAGGTGAAGATCCGTCGGATATTTGAAAAAGGTATTTTTCGTTTAAAGCAACAGTTTCGGCAGGGTTTCCACTTTCAATACAATGAGGTGGAAATGCTGCACGAGCCCTAGTCAAGAGCATACGAAGAGTCACTGAACAAAAAACTCATCTTAGTCGCTAGAAGGGAATCGAACGCTTTCGAAGTAGGCGTGTTCTACTTTCTGGGGTGGGACGCTCAGTGCCGGCCGTGGAGATTGCGTGATGTGATGCGGGTCCTTGCGAGGTTGCTTGTAACTATCCCACGTTTCGAAATTAATGCTGCGCCCTTCTAATTGGTACTTGGTTACTCATTTAATTATCGCATTTCTTTGTTCGCACTGATGCATGTCTCTGCTTGTATTGGTGCATATGGGAATGCGGCAGCATTCCTTGATGGTACGAGCCAGCAAGAAATGTCTGCGGCGCAAGCTAGTTCGAACAGCTCGTCCGACACGCCCCTTCCACCATTTCAAAAGGGAGAGGGGAAGCCCCTGTTTAAGGGCTTCGTCGGTGGTGGCTCTTCGTTTTTTCTCCCATTAGCAGTTAATTCGTCATCTTCAACTTTATTATCGACCATTTTTACCTCGCGGATTTGATCTGGAATTGTTACTTCAACAATTCGTTTTTTGAACTCCAAGTCGAAGGTGCTGTTCGGAAAACTGCATTCTGTGACCTGAGCAATATAAAAGTGATGATAAACCACCTCAATACGTCTTTTTCCATTTTTTGTAACAGAAGAGTGGGCGCTGACGGTTGCCTCGCGATGTGCTGGATGAACTGATACTTGTTGTCCACCTGGTTGATAAATGATTTTGTCATGCAAACATAGCAGCATCTCAGTCATCTGAAGTATAGTAGGAGTGTAAATTGTTCATGGAGACAGTTTTTTCGTGGGTTATATTTTCTGCTCAAAAAAATTTAACACTTCGACAGCGCTGCAACTATGAATGCCGCTTTTGCATACTGCGTAGGACATTGTGGCAACTACATATGTATACCGCACCCACTACTTTCATTTTTCCGTGCCTGCTGAACTTCTTCCAAAGTTTTTTTTTGTGTTTACTTTGTAAGCCACACAGTGCTGTACTCATAAACAACTTGGTTCACAGATTGGTCAAATAGGCTTTGGTTTCGCAGAGGTTTTCCAAACCTTATAGAAGTGACGGGTAAGATTATCGGTTTTGGTTTCTTGGACATGACCATAAGATAAAAAATAGTGTTACGAGTAAATAGGAACTTATTCGGATGGCTGGGGTATCTTTCCACTGAAACAACTGCGTCCAAAGAATTTTTGAAACCAACACAGCAAAATATGGACAGTCCACATCTCGAAGCGTGATTAGGCGTGTCCATGGATTTGACGTGGCGGCCGCCGCACTTGACAGAAGTAGCGTGATGAGCTGCTTCCAGCATGCTTTGCTGATACCAGTGGAGTACGTTAGAAACAGCTCATTCACACGACTCCTAAGGGTTTGCACATTAACGCCTCGTCTTCTTCTACAATTTCAAAAAATTCCAGAGCAGGATAATACCTGTACATAACGCAGTCATTTCGTTCGCGCCACAACTGATTGGTCAAGTTGGTACGGTACCAGAAACTCAGCATTATCTACGCGAAGTGGCACTGGCCAGTGCTTGCTCTTTCTTCGAGCCTGCCGCAGCCGCGACGTCATTTTGACGTCACCAGCACGCGCCGCCACTAAGCTTTTCTCTCCTTCCCCCCCCCGCCCCTCTGCAATATAGTCCCCTATAGTACCTCCCCTCGACGATCAGCGAGGGAGGCTTGTTCCGTTCCGCAGGGATGGAAGGATTGATTGGGCTGGATGAGATTTGATACGGGGTTTCATCTCATGACCGAGCGCATTTGTAATATGTATCGCCCTTTGAATTCACTGTGAACCCCCGCGACATTCCGGATGTCTTCCAATTTGCAGAATTATGGTTAGTCTCACCATTACTCAATAGTTAGGTTCGTTATGTTATTTCAGGTATCTGGATGAATTATGGAAAGAGTACTGAACGATTACGTCTTCATCTCAAAATTAATCATATGCAAGTCGACAATCAGGTTTGCTTTGTGGCATACGTCCAGAATCTTTCTTAGTGCCATTAATGATCCCTACATATATAATGCGCCAAGTCTGTTGTCTGTCTGTCTGTGTATCTGTTTGTCCGTCTATCACGAAATTCGGTATTACCTGAACAACCACCCACAGAGTCCGTGTCAAGTTTGATATGGGTGGGGATGGGTCAAGAAGCACAAAACACGTATCAGCTAGGCGGAGCTCCGCGTACAGTGTGCGAAGCACCCGCCGAATTAGGCGGTGCCGACGGTGAATGGTTCGAGTTCAGCTACATAAGAGTTCGAAGACCGAAAAAATGGGTAAAGGTGTGCACTGAAATGACAAGTCCAATTAGGGAGGCCTGCTCACGTGGGCGGAGCGTTCTCTAAATAGGCGGTGCCTAATAGAAAGTTCATAACTCGCCAATGGAGTGGAGGGGAAGATAGGTTTAGAAGAGCAACATCTAAGGTGTTCTCACCATAACTGAACTGAACGGAAGCCCATCCACAGTAGGCGGAGCGTGTCTTTAAGTGGGCACTGTTTATTAAAATTCTCATGATTCGGTTTAGAGAAGTCCCAGAAACCGGAAAAAAGTGGATAAGCTCAGAGGAGTGAAGGGTAAACGTTGATGGTGAGCGTCTCGTGCGCCGATGTGGGCAGGGCTTGCCGCCGAACTTACAATTCGGTTTTAAGAAGTCCAGGAGACTGGGAAAGAGTGGATTGAGTCTGACAGGGAAGGGAAATGAACAGCTGTAGGTGTGCGGGGCGTGCAATCTTAACATACTGTGGAGAGTTCAAAGGCACCTGAGGGGGAGATGGCGGGGAGCCAAGAGTTCTCATGGACTGAAGTACGTGGGGCAGGAAGGAGCTTTCACGCAGTTTTGCGCAAATTTTTTAACGATAGATTAGCATGCGGTAGAAGAGTGAAATGTTTCGCGCAAGTGAGGAGGCCAAAAATATTTTCGAATGACGACATTCCGAGAAACAGATGGAAGCGTCCCTGTTGTCAACATTTATGATAGTTTCGCAACGGAATTTCGAACGATTTATAGTCATTTTGATTTTCTGGATCACTTACCAAAACAATGCGGTATTTCCTTCTTTTTGTTCTGATCGTGGAGTATGGATCTCAAGGCACCGATTCATGAGGTAGATAGAATTATGACGATTCCATGCACGATTTTCTGCGCCGCCTCACAGTTACGTAGCGCGAAACAAGTACAAGTAGGGCATTTGTGTACCGCTCTTAAATACTTCTCATACATCGGAAAATTCATCCCTTTGAGTAACTATGAAAGGAGCCTTCTACTGCGATAGAAGTCGAAGATTGAAAAAAAAGATCTAAACGTTCACATATTTCAGCTCGAGACATGCGTATTCCCACGAGTACTGGCAAATGTCCCACCTCCAAAGAGTATCCTAGTCGATAATGGTAAGTGGGTTTGGTTTACTTCTGCTTAAATTTTCTCCTCTTCATGGTTAATCTCAGCACCAAAGCCGTTCATCGAGTTGTCGTATTTGCAACGGCAGTCGGAATTCTCGACGGTACCTGAAGTGGAATACGCTCGAGTTCTAGTGCAAGAATTCGCGGTGCAGGTGGACCAAGGACTCATCAACGCGCTTTTGGCGTTGATTGAATCAGAAGTCAATAAGGAAGCGTATAGGGTAAGATCAGTGAAATATAGAGTCGTAGAATTTAAGCGCCTTCGGCTACTTGTCTGAAATTGTCAGCGCTCGGTGTGCGTGGTCGCGATGCGATGCTCGTAGAGCTCCCTACCACATCGCGACCCGCACGCTGTTGATTGACACCGTTTCAGATATCAGTGTTGTTGCGGAGGTAGTAAATGTTCGCTCCTTTGATATTGGTCATTTCAGAAAGAACTATTCGATGGAGACATGGCGACGGCCATGGTTCGTCTAGAAGATACCGCTATGCAAAATCGGTCACACGCACCTAGAGCCTTCTACAATGATCTTCACATTTCACCACTTATGGTAAATCGCATTTTTCGAAATTTTCCTACTCAATCGTCGTAGTCCTTCTGGAGCTATGAATTGATATGACTTGAACGCAGTACGTCGATGTTGCTGGGTGCCTAACGTCTCTCACTTACGCGGAATTGCACTCGCGAAAGCCCGTTCGTCGCATCTACCGGTGCGCGATATCGCACTTTCGTTGGCACGGTTTTTCAAAATCAGGGAAAAAGCTATACACCCATTTGCAATGTTTTCTCTGCCAACAAGGTTTTTAGTAGATCTTTATCAGTGGCTCAACGTTTCGAAGAGATGGAGATTGCTACATACCTCTCACTAAGCAGGGCTCAGTTCGCCATCACATTATACATTGCTGTCAACCGCTTTGTCCAAATTTCTCAGCTAATATTTAGATCCATGAGGACTTGCGCAACTTCAGTGCAAAGTGGGAAGGGGGTTCATTTGAGGGAGACTGAGGGATGGGGGGAGGGGTGTAATCCAGGAATGGGAGGATAGCCATATTACTTGGCAAAGTTCCCTGTTATTGATTCGCGGTTCAGACCAGTGTAAAGACCCCTGCTCTTCGCCCGGTCCTCGTAAGAAAGGGTCAGTTTCTCATTCCCGAACATCCAAAATGGGATGTACGCCTGTATCGCTTTGTTCGACTCTGCTTTCCTTATTTGCAGAGCAGTTTCCTGGAAGAACTTGTAAAGCAGGAAAGTGCAGCGGTATTGACTTTGAGGTCGTGAGATCGGCACTGTTGCAGTCCACACTTTTGCTCTGTTAGAAATACGGTTAGAAAGACTTTAATGTTCGATAAAAGTGCGGGCTCGCATTTATTTGATCCCACGACCTCGTACCTTTGAGGCAGGGTCACTACAGCTGCGTTTCTCTGCTTCATAACTTCATCCACAAAATCTCGTAGATGGCAGAAGCAAATCTGAACATACGTTTTGGGGTACACAGGTATACATATCATGTCAAATGGCTGAGCTGACCAATTGGTCGTACCTTGTCACGGAAACCTACTGATGTGCCAGGAGGATGGAGATGGTGACTGGTTCATGGAATGCCTCCTAGCGTCAACCTCCATCTTACCCAAACCTTCTCTTTATATATTTAAACTGCACCTTCAGTCCTATGAATCTAGATATGGATGACACGTTTGAATCTCCTTAGATCAAGTTAGGTTACTGAAAGATGAATTTCAGATTCACCTTTCCTTCTCTCAAGGCGGAACCACTGCAGAAAGCGGAACTGGGGCTGCGATGCCGATCCAATCCGAGTTCTTCAAGGTTCTGTTCCAAAGCGTCGGAGTTACTGTCACTGAGCTTCAAGACGTAATCTTCAAGTGAGCGATTTAACGCTCATCGCTCTTTCATAATATTTTTTTCTCATCCATAAAACAATTCTTGTCTACCTAGACTTGCATATTTCGAACGACAATGTGTGTTTTATCGAACTGACCAGCTCACCAGCGAAATTATTTCGCATTACACGAAGCAAGCATTGCGACAGGTGAATTAGTTTGAAATGTCATGGGAATTGAAAACTTGGAAATGAGAACATCATTGTGATAATGATAGGTGGCTTGAAAAGAGGACTGTTATGAGCGCAAACAGTCGAATTGTGGGTCCATAGGGCAAGATGTAGAATCTTATACATCTTTTTCTGTTATTCTAGCAATCGAAATATCGAAAATTGGGAGGGAAGTGGCTAAATTCTTCGCGTAATGTAATATCTGACCGAAATGCGAAATTGTAAGGTGTAGCAATCGCGAACCTGCGCCTTATTATCTCGCATTTCGGTTAGAGATCCCATTACGCGAAGTATTTAGCTATTCTCTTCCGATTTCCGATGTTCCGATTGTTTAAGTATCAGAAGAAGCTGTCGTAGATTCTTCATACTCCCCTATGGACCCACATTTAAATTGTTTGATTTTCATCGGTCTATTTACAAATTTGAGTACTGTTGTTGCTCCGGTTTCCAAAAATTTGAATTCATTTTTATTT